CTTCCCCCAATGGCAGCGAATTTGAGACGCGACGACGACGACACGACGACGAGAGACGACGACAGACGACGAGAGACGACGACAAACGACGACACGACGCAAGCCATGCAAACACAGCTCCAACCCCCAGACCCCCAACTATAAACGGGAACCCTTCGCTACGCATTCGGGTAAAAAGAGAGGAGCATTCAACAATAATATGAGGAGCTCGGCCAAATACACTGGATTGACGGGCTGCAATGAGTACAATGTACCTCACAACTTGTTGGTTACTCTTGTGCTTTGAAAGTGGCTCTTCCTTTCTAGGCTAGACTGTCCTTGTGGGTGAAGCCTGTACAAAATATCAATGCCTTAAACTTAAACAAGAACTCCTAAAGTGGCGATTCTTGCAAAGGAGTAACCTTTCATGAAAACAAATGTTCTTTGCATTAAAACACAAATACTGTTTTATATAAGTAGTAGACATTTACAGGATCAGGAGGAGAAGTGTGCAAGGGAAGTTAGTCTCATATAAAAGGATTCTGCTTTAGGTGGGACGCTTATATAAGGATGCTGATATGAAACGTTTGTTCGATAGAGGATGGCATATGTTTATTTTGTAAACGATATTATTCATGTCGTTGATCTAGATAGGTTGGAAAAGAAATTGAACAAGATGGAACCCACGAACCCGAATGCAAACACGTTCAAAAAACTACATATGTCCAAATGACACTCTTGTAGGACACTCTTGTGGGACACTCTTCTGGGACACTCTTGTAGGACACTCTTGCGGGACACTCTTGGGGGCTCTCTTACGGGGCGCTCTTGTAGGACACTCTTGTGGGACACTCTTATAGGGCACTCTTGTAGGTCACTCTTCTGGGACACTCTTGTGAGACACTCTTGTAGGACACTCTTGTGGGTCATTTGGGTCACTCTTGTAGGAAACTCTTGTGGGACACTCTTGTAGGACACTCTTGTGGGGCACTCTTATGGGACACTCTTGTGGGACACTCTTGTAGGACACCCTTGTGGGACACTCTGGTAGGAAACTCTTGTGGGTCACTCTTGTGGGACGCTCTTGTAGGACACTCTTGTGGGACACCCTTGTGGGACACTCTTGTGGGACACTCTTGTAGGAAACTCTTGTAGGAAACTCTTGTGGGTCACTCTTGTCGGACACTCTTGTGGAACACTCTTACAGGACACTCTTGTGGGACACTCTTGTGGGACACTCTTGTCGGACCCTCTTGTGGGACACTCTTGTAGGACACTCTTGTGGGTCACTCGTACGAAGCTCTTGCGGGGCATTGTTTTGGGACTCTCTTGTGAGACACTCTTATAGGACACTCTTGTGGGACACTCTTGTAGGACACTCTTGCAGGACACTCTTGTGGGTCACTCTTGTAGGAAACTCTTGTGGGACACTCTTGTAGGACACTCTTGTGGGACACTCTTCTGGGACACTCTCGTAGGACACTCTTGTGGGTTAGCACACTCTTGTGGGACACTCTTGTCGGACACTCTTGTGGGACACTCTTACAGGACACTCTTGTGGGACACTCTGGTAGGAAACTCTTGTGGGTCACTCTTGTGGGACACTCTTGTAGGACACTCTTGTGGGACACTCTTGTGGGACTCTTGTGGGACACTCTTGTGGGACACTCTTGTAGGAAACTCTTGTGGGTCACTCTTGTAGGACACTCTTGTGGGTCACTCTTGTGGGACAATCTTGTAGGACACTCTTGTAGGACACTCTTCTGGGACACTCTTGTGGGACACTCTTGTGGGACACTCTTGTGGGACACTCTTGTGGGACACTCTTGTAGGACACTCTTGTGGGTCACTCTTGTGGGACACTCTTGTGGAACACTCTTGTGGGACTCTTGTGGGACACTCTTGTAGGACACTCTTGCGGGACACTCTTGTAGGACACTCTTGTGGGACACTCTTGTGGGACTCTTGTGGGACACTCTTGTGGGACACTCTTGTAGGAAACTCTTGTGGGTCACTCTTGTAGGACACTCTTGTGGGACACTCTTGTGGGACAATCTTGTAGGACACTCTTGTAGGACACTCTAGTGGGACACTCTGTGGGACACTCTTGTGGGACACTCTTGTGGGACACTCTTGTCGGACACTCTTGTGGGACAGTCTTGTAGGACACTCTTGTGGGACACTCTTGTGGGACACTCTTGTAGGACACTCTTGTGGGATACTCCTGTAGGACACTCTTAAGGGACACTCTTGTGAGACACTCTAGTGGGACACTGTTGCGGGACACTCTTGTGGGACACTCTTGTGGGACACTCTTCCAGCTCCCCAGATACTCCGCGTACTAAAGTTGTACTACAAGGTCGCCAGTTCTCAGCTTCCAGCTCCACAGATTGCTCCGCGTGCTAAAGTTGTACTACAAGGTCGCCAGTTCTCAGCTTCCAGCTCCACAGATTGCTCCGCGTACTAAAGTTGTACTACCAAGTCACCAGTTCTCATCTTCCAGCTCCCCAGATACTCCGCGTACTAAAGTTGTACTACAAAGTCGCCAGTGTGATCTCCGCAGAGGGTTGCGCGTCAAGTCTCCAAAACGAGCGTTTCGTACGAGACTTCCTCAAAAACTCATACGTCAAAGTCTGCAAAACGAGCGTTTCGTACGAGACTTCCTCCAAAAGTCAAGCGGAAACACCCATCGGAGCACACACATCACGCAGCCCTGCCAAGCAGTTTCGCGATTCCAGCCCCTCCAAACAACATCCGCTCACACGCCAATCCCAATGGGACAGCGACATTCACCTCTACCACAACTCACACTCTACCACAACTCACAACCTCACGATTCCCTGCGCCTGCCACGAATCTTTCCCCATCCACACGTCTAACGCGCACAAAGTACTGCGCCTGCCACGAAATGTCACCTCCCTCACACCTCGCAACCTCACGATTCCCTGCGCCTGCCACGAGAATTGCACTTCCCGCACGAAGTCCTGCGCCTGCCACGAAAAGTGACAATATCATCGCATGTGAGCTTCAACAAAATTTGCACCACACCACACGTTTGGAATGATTTCGACCCGTTCAGAGCACACTCCCATCCATCAAAATCGCCACTTCAGCTGAGACTTGTCACGAAAACAGAGCTTCGATGCCACACCCTGAAACGCAAATCCCAATGGCACGGCCACATCCAACACCCCAAAAACACGACTCTCCAAACGCTAATCCCAATGGAACTGCGCCGTAATCTGCGGATCTCACAAAACGCTGCGCCTGTGCAGCGAAGTGCATCACGTTTCTTGCGCGACATGTCCGTGTCACGCAAATCACAATGGAATAGCGGCGCAAACTGACACGTGACACATCCATGCAAAGTCACTTGCAAAAGCTTCCCCCAATGGCAGCAAATTTGAGACGCGACGACGACGAGAGACGACGAGAGACGACGACAGACGACGAGAGACGACGACAGACGACGACAGACGACGACACGACGCAAGCCATGCAAACACAGCTCCAACCCCCAGACCCCCAACTATAAACGGGAACCCTTCGCTACGCATTCGGGAAAAAAAAAACATAAACTCTACTATGCCATAAGTCATAGTTATGGATTTCGGAAGCTAGTTTTATGAAGTTGAACATAGTTGAACTCAACACACAGAGCCCAAATCCTTAAAAACCCTTCTTCTCCTCTTCTGTGTGTAAAGCTTATAAGTTTCATTGGGAGCTAGTCAGCTAGTTCTGTGCACGGTAGCGCCCTCTGCGCCGTCTTCAATCGTCCTGTTCGAACCCACCGGGGGATCCAAGCTGCGGAACCCAAACATACTCAAGCAAAGCAACCAAACCCTGTAGAAGTGGAAGCACCAGTGATTCTTTTTACCGAAGAATCTAAGGGTTTAGCACTACAAAGCCAGATCGTTCTAGATTCTAAAACATGGTGTTTGACTTCCAGGGTGTTGCCCCTATGTGTTGGTTTCGGACCTGGATTCTTAAGTGCAAGACATCGAATCAATGGGCGACTGGGTGGGCGTCGCACCGGTGCTTTTCACCTCCCCACCTTGTGCGACCAGTGAGAACTGCTAGTGCCACCTGTCTTCCAAAGCAGGCAAACTGAAAGACCCACCCAAGTCTTTAGCGCTTGGATTCCGGATGCTGCGCACCGGAACCCCAAATCCGAACGGCTGAAAGTCAGAGCCCGAATCAAATAGTAAATAGTGATAGTGTTGGGTCTTAAATAGTAAAACCCGTCCGCCCCCCTCCTAGCAAACAATGAAGGGACGATGAATAGAATCCCCGCCACAAAAACCATTAGTCGCATTCGTAGCAGTAGCAGTAGGAGGAGTAGTAGTAGTCGTCGTCGTCGCCGTCGTCGTCGTAGTAGAAGAGCAATATAGAGTTAGTTTCTTTCCCCTTAGGGCTCCCAAGTTTGCAAAGCTCATTAAACCCACCCCCTAAACAATGGATATGATTAATATTCACTTTCCCTGTGCTACTACCCCCCTTGAAAAATTGTTTGGAGCAATGAAATCGTTGAGTTTTAGATTTTAATATGTAATAAACGTTTTTTGAAAACGATTTCCAGGTCAGAATTCCATGAATCAAGCAAACCTCAGGACAGTTAAGTAAGGATGTTAAAGGGGGAACTAGCAGAGCAATAGAAAAGTAAACAGTAAACAAAACCAACAAAAATCAACCTGGGTGATTTTTGTTTATTCCCTCCCACTAAACTATTCAGTATGGTGGAATAATGTGGCGAACACTTTTTGTTATTCCCTCCCACTTGACAAATTAGGATCTGACATTACATGCAGTAGCCTGCGACCACCGTCGTTTGTCCAGCGTCATGCGAACAGGGAAAAGCCGTTTTCCAGGAGCGTTTGAGGTGTTTCTCATCCAAAGAAGTTGATGCTGGTGATGCTACTGAAATGCAGTTGCATCACCTGCATACTCTATCCAATTTTACAACTCATGGTCAACTAACCCACCGCCCCCAAGTCCCGTTCTGAAGTCAAAGCCCCAGAAACAGCGCATCGTCATGGAAGTCAGCTGTTCCAAATGCCCAGGCCTTTCATCGGGCCCAACATGTGACCAAACACGCACATTGAGGCTTTGAGGCGATGAAAAGCGGTCCAAATGGGTTGGATGTGTTATGGTCATGGCCGAGTGTTTCACGTTCCCCCCCCCAAAAGGATCGCGGATCCAGTGGTCACAAGAGAACAACCCAAAAGTCTGAACAAAGACGAACGACCTAGTTTTTTCCATATGATCTAAGAAGAAACCTGATTCAGATGGTAAGTTTCATCGACAAATTGTTTGTCTGGGACCCTGGGAGGGCCCTTGGTCTAGTTTCAACATGGGCAGAAAGCCCGTAAAGTTCAAATTGGACACATGTTTGTCAATCTGGATCAGTAGTAGACCTGGCTCTTCCATGATCAACAACGTGTTAAATGCTTACTGAAAATGGGAGGCATCTTGGTTTCAGAGTAGATGGCACAACCCGTTTATATATGGACCGCCATAAAATAAAACATCTAGAACCACCTGCTTCGACCTGACTTCGGTCGCTCAAGTTGTCGAGTTCGAACCACGAAGGCTCGGCCATGTGAGAACGTTCTCATCGAAAAGCAACCGGAGATCTGAATTCCACCAAGTGGAAGACTTCGTGATCAACTTGGGGAGGTTCTTCATGGTTTTCCAGTTCTCCTTCCTGCCAACCATAGAATCTAGGAGGAATTGGTTGTGATCGAATCTGACCGCTTCTGTAGATCATCTTTGACACCTTGGAAGTGGGAGTCCCACATGATTGCCCTCCGATTACCCACTTCTGTCTTCCACCCCTGCTCTTCAGACGGACGCTCCGCTCGGCGCTCCGGGCCGTATTGGCCATCTCCTGTGGGAGGGATGCTGCAAACTGGGTTTTGAGCCGGGGCCGTGTTGACCATGTCGCCAAAAAGTCCGGGGGTTGGCAGCTGGCAAGTCCACGAAGTGCACATGGCTTCTTGCTCCTAGTAGTAAGGCCAGGAGCCACTAGTAGCTTCTTGCTCCTAGTAGCGATGCCAGGAGCCCCTAGTAGCGTCCTTGCTCCTAGTACTTTGTGTTCAAGAAAAACACATGGAACATGTTGCATATTGTTGCATTGATTCACAACCCCGTCCACCTGAACAGAACGGACTCTGGACAGAGACTTGTCGTACACCGAGGGATTCATGGTGCCATTGAAAAGAAGGATACGGCAGAAAATGCAAAGAAGCGAACTCATCCAGTCTCATCAACTGCTCTGGATGGAGCCTCTCTCCATGGAAACCGGCGGTAGAATCCCTCCCTCCCACGGTTGGCTTCCAGGAACACGGTAGAATGCATCCGATCCGCCACACCCAGGAAGCTAGGGATGAGGCCTGGGTTCCAAGCATACAGGCATATGGCCTAGGAGTCAAAGACTAGCCGAACTGGACTTCTAGGGTATACGGTATACAGGCGATTTTCTTAAGCACCAGACTTGTCACAGATCTCGTTCAACCTGGTTGAACTCACCATTTTTTTCACCCTGGAGAGGTTGGGAGGGCCTTGAAGTCCTGCTTGAAGATGAAACCCTCTGGCTATATTAGGGCTATATTATACCCATACACTCCATGTATGCCATATATGCCTACATTGACCCCCCCAAAACCACCCCAATGTAGGCATATGACAGACGTGGAGTGTCCGTTATTTTGCGTGGTCTGAAAAGCGTACTTCATTGAACTTCAATGGCCTTACACTCCGCGGAAACATCACATGGAAGTGGATGGCACCACCTGTTTGTAGAGGACTTCATGGTCATCCAACCGGCCATTTTCCACTTCCATGATTGGCGCGTAAAAGTTTGCTTACAGGGACCATGTGGTTTGTTTGTTTCGCCATCTTCACTTCTACCCTCACTGAGATCTTCTGGGAACCCTATGGAACCCCACTTCACCATGCCAAAATTCCAACGATGCTCGAAGCAAATCCTCAGTATATCGGACCCCCCCCAAAGGACTACAGTAGAGTCAATGCTCCGTTGTGTCTCCCCGAAGGATGTTGGCTGTGATCCTGCTCCAACGCAGCAGGTCTCGGCAGGTGCCAAAGGTTTCCAGAGGTGCCGTGTTACAGCTTCGAACCCCCCCTGCAGACTCCCTGCAGAATCCCTGTGTCCCATCGTGTGAAAAAAAAACACCTTGTGTAGTGTGTTTCCTTTTGAGCTGTTTGGCTGTGATCCAAAGCAAAACACACGCCCCCTGACTGCCGGAAACGGCTTCCTGGCAGTTGGCACCGGCCGCCGCCGGCAGCATGGCCGCCGCCATGCTACGGAAGAGCCGTGCGTGGCGCTGCCTGAGAAGGCGCTGAGGGGAGGCCTGGTCGTCGTCTGGAGCATTCAATAAAAAGGGCGGACCTTGTGTTTGCAGTCTTATCTCTTTTAGAATCCAGGCTCAGGGTAAGAATTATTAACGAATACAGCTTTAAAACAATGATTCTTCGATTGATTCCACCGGTTCTAAAATCCTTAGAACATCTTAAAACAATGTTCCTGGATTTGATCCATTAAATCACTGCTGGAAAATCCCAAATGACTTTGACTGTTGAGTACCGCAATCCTTGGACCCGACCGGGGCCGGGGTCCGGTCCGGTCCACCCTACCTCGCTTCCAAGTGGCTTGGCCGTGGCAAAGGCCCAGGCAGTAGTGGCTAAGCATCGGAAGCCGAAGTCATTGACGTGGTTGTGGATGTGCGTGGCCGCCTCGATGTCATGTGCTCCAGCCGTCCGTGTCCCCGTCGACGGAGGGTTTTAGTCGAAAACGCGGAAACGCCGAAGAGAAGGGAAGATGAGGGATCTAGAGTCCTAGAGCCTCCCATGCTTGGGCCATCGGTCTATTTTCCTGCCACCCTAAGTGATAGTCTGGTCCGCCGCAGTTATAACTAGAGATAACTATAATAGGCTAGGATACATGAATAGGATCCATTCCCTCATTCCTGTCGCAGCAGTCACGGGGGCGGCTCGGCTGCGCCACGCCGCCGATCAACGTGTTTCGACCGAACCAATGGACGAAGCAGCCGAGGCTCTCGGCTGTTTGAGAAGGAAGGTAGGCAGGAAGGTAGACAGCACGTCGCAGCTACCCAGCAGCGAACAATATATAGCGAATTGTTTTAAGAGGTTACCTATAGTTTGGGAGGTGGCTCGGTAAGTGTTTTGGGGTGAGTTGTGAAAATCGGAAGAAATGGATGGTCACGAACCCTAACAACGGTTGTTTTGTAGATGTTCTTGTGAGGTTGGGAAGGCTTGGTTAAACTAAAACATGAACATCCTTTCGCTCCTACGGTACAAGAGACTCTTCTCGCTCCTGGCTCCGACTGAAACACCTGACCCATCGGCGATCCGGGGCAGTGCCCTCCACCGGATGACCGTCGGATCTACCTCTCCGTCACTCTTCAGTCAGCTGGGCACTCTTCAGTCTCACCCTAAGCTGACATCCAAAGCTGAAGGTCTCGACCGTGCGGACCGACCAAATCCCACGAACTGTCTGGGATGATCGGCTCTATCCCAAACACTTCACGGCTATCGCGTGGGATCAGATCCAACGATCGACCCTTCGTCGACAGGTCAACGGTCAACGGTCGGGGTCGACCTCACCGATGGCCGACCCTTTGGAGTCAAGAGAACGGGCAGGTTGACGGGTCAATCCTCCTCCAGTCGTACCCTCGTTTCGAAGGTGGGGGCATGTGGGGGCCCCGGGTGCCATTGTATCCAGTCGTACCGAACCTGAGGAGGTACTGTCCTTGGATCCCTAGGGATGGAGTGTCTGGGCCTTGCACGGATGCGGAACTGGCGGAAGAATCTCGCTCTGACCGAGGGTGACAGGATGTTACAAACACGTAAGATACTCCAGGACCGAAAGAGCAGGGTGTTCCTTGGAGATCCATCATTTAGCTAGGGTAGTTCAAATGTAGAATCTGCAGTAATGACCCCCCACCTTGTATATTGTGGGTGTTTGATTCATCAAGATTCTACAGTACATGATGAAAATCACCCAAAGAAGGCGAGATATGGCGAGATGATCTTGGTTTTGCTATGTTTTGCTGCGATGTTCAGGTGTTTTGACATGTTCTGACCAGGGTGGACGTGTCTTGATCCCAATCATTGACTTTCCCCAGCCGAATGGTATGCAGCTGACATTCCGCCTCAATCCACTGAGCCCATTACTAGTGGAATGCGAGCTCTGCTCTTTAATACCGGGTCACTAGTTCAATTGGGTGCTTGGTCTTCGAAGTATTCCCTGGTGATGGATATCAGCTACCACTGACATATTTCAGCTATAACCCCCTGTCTATAAGATTCTATAAGAGTTAACTGCATGGTTGCCCTTGTCCTATCAACAACTACTGGATCGAACTGGATGTTGTTTGCTAAATCCAATACTCTCAGGTTGAGTCTGAGATGCCTCTGGATGTGTCTCTGTCAATCGGATTTCAGGAATCTGTGCGTCAGCACACGTCCCTCCCCACGCTGCCTACTAGGTCCCCGGCGGCATAAAACACTGCCTTGTCGACGGGTGCAGCATCCTGGGACGGAGCATGACATTGCGAACGGACAAAAATGGGTTGAACATTGCATGCACCCTACACCTCCAGTCGTACCTCCTCAGGTTCGGTATGACTGGACCCGACAATGGCACCCACCCCAGTCCCACCGAACCTCAGGTATGGTACGACTGGAGGCCTAGGGGCATGACATTGCGATTGATGCGAACCGTGAGTTTCATCTTGAACGTGAACTCGGATTTATTCGACAGACGTGCCGCATGAAAACCCCTGGGATCCCAGGCCCCGCATGGTAGGCTAGATGAGGCGCCCCGCTTGCGGAACAACCATTTTTCTCTTTGAAAACGGACTTTGGACTAGAAAATCAGGTCCCAGGTCAAACATTACTTATATACCAGCAGTTCCACAGGAATGGTTTCGCTGGCAGTCCCCAAGCTTCGTGGATAACGCCCATGGAACGGGGCCCGTATCCTCCCTCCTTTGGAACATGGAACTGATCATAACTCCACTACCAGTTTTGGTTGTTTTGGCCCCTATCCTTCGGCCCTACGACCGGGTCAAAAAAGCCGGTCCGTTGGACGGGGTCGACGGCGGTCCACGTTTGATACTGTTGTGATTTTGGCTCCGACTCTGACCCACTTCTAGAGGGCTCCAGGTTGGAATAAAAGAAGATGCACTTCTTCATCGAATCTTCGGACACTTCCGGTTGGTTGGAGGGTGCATCCTGCATTCGGATGATGGAAGAACTTGGTGGCCGGGGTTTGATTCGGAAGGTCTGAGAAGCCGTCTTCGCTCCAGACTGACCTGGAGGCTCACCAGCCACCTAAGGTTGATCCCTGGAAGTCCGTCAAAGCATGTTTTGATTGGGAAGGACCTGGTGTTGTAGTGTTCTCGCCTAGTAAAAGCAATGCTTCTTCGGGATTCAGGCATCTTCAAGCAATGTGTTTTTATTCATATGGCTATATCGATATATACACCAGGAGTCACATGTCGGGGTGGTGTTTAGCCCCTAAGTGAGTGGATGTTCTGGGCACCCTTATCCTCCATGGATCGCACCCCGTCGAACGTGACTGCTGGCTTTATCGGCTTTGAGCTTTCGCACCGAGACACCAGTGGTGCAAAACCCGGCACCGACCCTCGGGTCTCGTGCGTCCGGTGCGGTCCTCGAGGGAGCCCAGCTTGGCCAAGGCCCACAAGGTGGTCGACAACTCAAAGCTCTTAAACTGTTCCTCAGCGCAGGATGGCTTCGTAAAAGATCTGTCCAGATGGCTTCGCCATGCCTACAGGTTCTTGAACACGCGATGCGCAGATGGCTTTGAAGTGCCATGCTTGGTTTCTACTGGATTCGGCTGCAGTGAGGCTGGGAGATAGGGGAGTCAAAGGCATCATGCCGGCATGCCGGCACGTGATGTTTTTCAAGCATGCTGAAGTGCTTCTTCTGTGTTCGAACAAGGCGGTTTAGAGGTGGGTCGAGCAACACTAGAATAAACCTTTATTGAGGCCTCCCCAAGGGGGTTCTATCAATAGCCTCGAAAAGAGGTAAAGGGAGGGGTGTGCATTAATCACTAATCACCCCTTGTGGGTCCTGGTATTACTGTTCGTTGGGATAGGGTGATAGGGGGTGAGAACAAAACATATGCTGCAAAGACCGCTTTCATTGTGCCGGCTTCCAAGGTCTCCGATGATGGTGCAAGCCATTGGGAAGCACTTGGCATTTCTTCTGCAACCCTACCTTCAAGGTTTTCCAATCAAGAAGGAAAGCAGGACACACCTTCTAGGAATCCAACTGGCAAAACATCATGCCTTGCGTGAAGTCTTTCATGGTCTTTCCACGACAATCCCGTCTTATCCCTGTCTGGACCTTGGGCGAACACGATCAAGTGATCTATGTTCCGTGATGGTCAATATGGATCAATATGGGGCTTGACCCAGCGTGTCCAGTGACCTATCTACAAGCCAACTTTTCATTTCGCTACTTTCCACCTGGTTTCATCTTAAACATTGGCGGCGACTTCCTGGGCTGCTGAAGGCTACTCAGATTAGTAAGTAACACCAAGGAAACTCACCACCGGACGGCAGAGGCTTTTCCCATGGAAAAAAACAAACCAAGTCATCCTCCAGCTTGGGGCCAACCTGGATGGGGCCCATCACGTGACCAGTCCAGTCCAGTCCACGAAAACACACGCGACACGATCCCCCCAGGCTATCCCACCATGTTGGAGACACAAACCAATGAGATCACCTGTCGACGCGTGCCCGGTCGACCGCCGTGGCGGAGAGTTGGAGGGGCGAAGAGCAGCTCCAGCATTGGGGCGAACAGCTTTCGAACACAAAGCCTATGCACCTTGTAGGAATTGATGAGGTACCCGGACTCTAGCCTTTGGTGGCCTCTGGTTGACCATCGATGTACGCGATTCCAATCGAAGCTGGGGTGAAATAGGGGGTTCTACCAGCACCACCCTGTCAGGATGGTTCTTGCACGATTGTAGAGAATACTGTCAATGTCCATGAACGACCATTTTAGTGCGGTGCTGGTAAAGGAAAGGCAACCTTTTGATAGATCTGCTTGGTTTTCGCCTGTGCAACCGACCAATCCGACCCAGTCTAAAGACCAGATCCTTGCGGCCATCCGCGGCATCCAAAGCGGCACTTGAAGGCCCAAAGGCTCTGTGGTTTCACTGGGGTCCCTCAAAACCGCCGTTAAAAAAACCGGGCGATCCGTCCGAATCCGTCCGGAGGATCACACGCAACCGAAAGAGTCATGTGGGATTGAAGCAATCCCAACATATCCCAACTATGTGATTCAATGGAGAACAAATTCGCGTGGGGTGTCAGGTGGAAGGTGCTTAGGCTTCAGTTTGTGCTTAAGCCATACGATTGCTCGCCCGAAACCGGAATGGTTCAGTCGGTTCGACTGGTTCAGATCAGCATGTGCATGGTCCGTTGCGTGGAAACAATGCGCACCGACCATCCGCGTTGTTGTATTTTTTTGTGCCAGGAGCGATGGGTTTGTTCGGACAGGCAAATCCTTGATTGGACCTTAGAGGCCCCAGAACTCCCATCCTTCGAATCCGTGTCTTTAGTTCCCAGAACTTCGACTCATTTTGCCCCACCTGGATCTGGGAGTCCAAATCCACCCAACAAATTCAGGGTCCATCCCACAACCCACAAGGGGTGGTTTAATGGACGCTCCTTAACCTCTTAAGGGGTTATCAATTAAAAAAACAACAACAACAAACAGGAGGTCCTGGTCTATATAGTCCCTAAGTAGCTGGACCGTCTCGACTCCACCGGAGACCTGCAAAAGTGGTCGATGCACGATTCTCAGCGTCGCCAAAGACCACACCACCTGAGTCGGCGGTCGAACACGTCCGTCTCGACCGTCTCCCCGGCGCGTGGGGAACACCGAACACCGGACGAGAGGGGACGTCTGCGACGCGATGGTGGTGTTGTGGAAAAGGCCCAGGAGAAGGGGTGCCAAGTACGTGAGTGTCGCAATGCCTACGAATGTCTGAAAGGCCTCTCATTGATGTTCGAAATGTCACTTGGGTATGCTTCGGTGGTTCCGGTTCCACTCCATATAAAGCAAGCTTTTCTTGTTTCGTGGGGTGTCCCCAATGCCGGTTTTGCCGGCGATCCACACACATCCTGGGAGGCGTTGAGGCAGGCTGTGAACGGAGCTTTCATTCGATGGTATGCAAGCCACGAAGCCACGGTGCTTTGTCCCGAAAAAAAGACGATGGGTGTGGGACAGTGTGGGAGGGTGTAGGTCCATTCACAGGTCCTTAGAAACCTCCAAACGGTCCGAAGCCATGGGTAGTCGCCGATCCACCAACAAATAGTAAAAGGACACCACCAACCTGTCAGGATGGTTATTGGATGTTATTGGACGGTACAGTACCATCGTATGGTATCTATATAAACCAAGGGTGGTGTTGAGGTCTACCATATTCCGTTTCCAATTATCTTAACCTGGTTCTTTGACCCCTCAAACCGTCTTCCCATCTGCACGTGTGGATGATGGTCCCTTTTGGTGCGCCTTCCGTTCGCTGAGTCTCCTCACGTTGCTCACCGACTGCGGCTGCACTTCTGTGGCTTCGACAACATTTAACCTGGTGCTTTCGGTGCTGAGACGTGAGACGAAAGGAACTGACGAGAACATGGAGAAGTGATATTCAGTGACTGCAGAGTTGAAGTTGATATTCTGCAATGCCATGTGTAGACTCTGTATTAAAATACTCCATTTCTTGGGCAAACACAGCCCCCATGTGGCGCATGTGCTGCGTTTGTGTGGGTTGAAGTCCATCTTCGCTGGGAGCTCTCCCCTCCATAGGAGGGATCAAGTCAACATTATCTCTTATTTTTGGGGTACGGGCGGGTAGTCAAAGTATGTCAAACATTGGTATTATTAGTTAGATTAGTCCTATATACTTTTTCTTTGGGGAGTAGCCAAAAACTGAGTCTCGCAAGGTGCCCTCTATCTCCAAAGCGTTTCTTTCTGTGCTTTGTATGTGAGAGACCGGCCGCTTGCCCACCGTCTGTCTATCCACCGGTTGAAGGAATGAACATGAGAAAAACCTACTGCATTGAGACTTATCCGTTTCTTCTTTTGTGTGCGTGTTTTTACTTCTCTTTATCTGAACTCATGATCCTGAAGAGCCGGCCTCACCATGGACCCTGTTGGTGGGGAAGCGGAGGCCTTCTAACCTGCTGACCTGCTGACCTACTTTTCAGGGCCAACACCACTTGGTCTTCACCACCGCACTATGGATCGGGTGCTTGGATAAGCTTTCGAACATCCCATCGTCGCCTCACACACCTGACCTGCTGCACCAGGGTATGTGTCATAGATGTTCTATCATGCCGTTGGGCAGGCCGTCTCAGACGTATTCCATCTTGGGAGTTTTGGTGAGGTCTTGCATTTGCGGCCATGTGCTATGGCTATGGCAGGTCTGGCCCATTAGACATCCATTAGACTATAGCTTTACTGTAATTATCAAAGATCAGCATTGGTCACGAGACCCTCGCAGGACTCTTGCAGGGCGCCCCAGACGCAGTGCAAACGCTGTTCAACAACGTCTCCAGGCTCGAGCTCTGCCGTAGCTGACCCTGCGGAGGTGACCAATTCACCGAGAAAAAGGAACTGGGTGGATATTGATATTTATCTATCTGCACCTTCCTTTCGATACCTCCAAATCGACCACCTTAACACTACCATTAAGTCCATTGAGCACCCCCTCTGATGATTTTTTTGTTGTTACTGCTGGATGATCTCGGACTTCCAAATGTGTTTCGTCAAACAAACATCCGAGCCATCCGCTAAAAGCAAGGGCCTCTTCTCAAAGAGGCTCTACCCAAATCAATCGAAACAGTGACCTTGTGAGGATGTTTCGTTGACCAAAGGATCGATTTCCTCCACATTCCAAGGCATGTCCGAACGCTGCAACTGGAAGTCGATGGCATGGCCAAGCATGGCCAAGCATGGCCTCTGGAAATACCATGTTCCAATACAACGCAGGTATGGGGCCATGTTGAGTGGAGTATGTCCATGGAAGTGGCCATACATGGGGTAAACTCCACGTAACCATGTGAGTTCCAGGGAGGTTACTTTGCTCCAAAGACCCAAGCCAGCAGTTCATCCCAATCTCTTGCCAAACAAAGGGATGTGTCCAACAAGACCGAACCATTGAAGTCACATGGAGTCTGGCAAACCAGGTCCAGGTACCTCTTGAGGATGGTATTGGAGCTGATAGTACTTTCAGAGAATGGTCGAACTGGGGTCAAAGGACATCCTCAAGATGGTCCCGCACCCTTTAGGGACATCAGGCAACCCCATGAGATAGATATGAATCTACTGGGTGGTCTGTTTTCTCCACCCAAACTGTGTTTGCCAATGTCGACACACCTTGGGAACGGGGATTTTTTCCACGAGTTCCAACAGCACCATCCAGTTCGGGTGGGTGATATATATATATATATTATATTACCCTAGGCTTCCAACAACCATTATTTTAATAGGCTTTACCGAATCAACTAAGGATGTTACACTACAAAAACCAGGTCAACCATTTTTTTAATGGTCTTGGAAGTCTAGGGTTATATTATATGTGTTTGCTTACCATCCAATTGCACCTTCAGAATGTCGGTGGGGGGAATCCACCAGATCACACCAAAGAACAAACAGAAAACCTCGAGGTTCAATATTGTTTGTAGACTGTTGAATGTTGATTCATTCATAAAACCAATGAAAAACTATACACTCTCTCTCTCTCTGTCTCTCTCTCTCTCTTGTATGTAGATCATGTTCCAGGGTTCACATCCCAAACAACACAACCTTTTTAAAGGGACAATTCTTGATATAGAATCTGAAGCCCCGTTGTTAAAGAGACATAGTAAAACATCGAACGGTCTTTCCGAAACGGCGTAGCTAGCCACAAGCGGGGGGGTCCTGTTTGACACAAGGGGACAAGGTGGATGCAACTCATATCAACTGGAGCATGTCCTAGCCACCGGCCGCCATCCAGTGCCTCATCTTTTTTTTTTCCATTCTCCAACTTTGTAGAGATCCAAGTACCTCCTCAAAAGGTACTTGGACCCTCCAAAATTCAAACCCACCCCAGTCCCACCTTCTCAGAGGGTACGACTGGATCCTTAGGGACTGGCAAACAAAAACACACACAACACCGCCCGTCGCGCCCGTCGACCCGTCGACCGAGCCGTCCCGATAGTAAAGCCGCTCGTCCTTCGTCGCTGCCTGTTGCCAGGGATCTGTGCCTACGATCTTCGCGACCCGATGAATTGCTGTAGATAGATTCACCAAATTCATCTGGGGCCTCAGGCGCAGACGGGGTCGGTGGGTCAGGAGAGCGGTGAGCAAGGCTGAGCAAGGCTGAGCAAGGGCAGTGATAGATAGAGGTAAGGCAAGTGACTTGACCAATCCGGCCAATCCCAGGCCAATCTCACAGATTAGTCACCACAGATTAGTCACCATCATCCAACTACAATCACCCAATTTGGTTTAATTTATATAATGTTTATTTGCTCCAGGTTGACTTCTTGAGAAGCCACGCAGAACATGCAACGAACGACTTCCAGGCCGTACTCCGCCCCATCCATGGGTCCCCAAAACCCCCCCAGTGGTGGAGACCAACGAGACCTGAGTCCCATCCCAACCCCCCTTCCGGGACGGAGGGTGTCCGTCCCGCTCTTCCACCTCCCCCAAGGCCCACTCAGTGAAGAAGGCACCCTTTTTTCCCGCCTACTCTGGCCGCAGTCTGCGAACTTTGCGCAGGCGAACTGATGCCAGGTTCAGCGATGTCAGGTTAAGCGATGCCGTCGTAGGCATAAGGATTCGGGGGAAAAAAAATTGGTCAAAAAAAACCTTCAGTACATGGATTTCTGAAGGTTCAAAAGACTGCACGGGTGTTTAAAACATAGATTCCCTTTCATCCCGATTTGCTCTCTTCGCAAAGAAGTACCTAACTACTAACTATGTCCTGTAGTTCCTGGGCAATCTCTATAGTTGATGTTTAGTTGAATCTAGTGAATCCTGCACTCTGATCAACCAAGTTTTCTTCTTTTCTCCCCTACTCCGCTCTTCTCCTCACTGGGCATCGTCTCACCTCGTGCCTCCCTTGTCCCGTTGTGGTCGGTCAGCCACTCGGCGAACACGCGGAAGGCGCTGCGGCGCCGCCGGCGGTACTCGGTGAGCTGCGCCTGCTGGGAGGTGGGCATGGCCACATGACATGGGAGGTGGGCATGCCCATCTTAGATGATCTTAGTGACACTGGGCAATGAGGATCAATTTAACTGGTCCTTGGACTAATAGGGGATGGATCATGTCCCAAGAATCAAGGACCAGTCAGCTGGTGAAGGTCTTGGTTCCCTTTGGCCCAGGGCAAAACACTCCAGTTTGGAGGGTCCAATGATTCCAATGACGGTTCGGGTCCCCAAACCTGGTCCAGCCTGACCCAGGACCAAACCTGGTCCAGTCTGACCTCCTGGTTGGACTTTGTCTTGCATCATCAACTCCAGTCATGAGGGTGCGGTCCAACTGACGGTCGCTTGGCGGGGCTGAGAGACCTCACCTTTTTTTCGGTTCGTCCCATGGCTTTCTTGCTCGAAACGTCGTCTCGCAAGCGAGGCGGAGATCGGTCGCATCTCGGCCTCGGTCATCTCGCCCAAGGTTTGGCCAGCACACTGGAGGTCATCTGGGACAAAGACATCAAAGAGCTTCCTGTTTTCGCGAAAGGAGAAGGGACCTTCATGGACCTTCCCCGTGACGAAAAAGGACAGATCCAATTTGGGGATTTGGGGGGGAGAAAGGGATCTTCGAAGGATCCAGGAACCCCAAATGTTCTCAATGGATGCACGGATTTTTCAGTGATGTTTGGGCCTTTGGGGATTGACAAGTGCAAGTAGACCTTGGGAATTTCCGTTAACCTGGTGTTTGGGTCGGTCATTGCACTCAAAGATCTCAAAACAGCTCAGGAAACGCACCCAGACCCTGAGGAAGAGGAGGAGATGGCAAAGGAGGGAGAGAGAGAGAGAGAAGGGGGACCATACAGGTTGGAAAAAACAATCTGCATACCAGGAGTCACAAGACGGGGTGGTGTTTAGTCCCCAAGTGAGTGGAGTAGCTGGGCACCCCTAACCTGCATTAAAAGCACCCCGTCTTGTGACTGCAGGTTTTGCACTTCTGCCGCTTCGTCTCCCTGCTTCGTTGCCCCACTGCTGTCCAATCTGCTGCCCCTCACGAAGGCTGGCGGCCGCCTCCCGTGGTGCCGTCGTCAGGGTGCCGTAGTAGGGCCGTGGCTCCTCAAAGACCTGTGGATCGTTGGGTCGGTCGGACCGGGCGGAGGGAGGGAGGACCGGCGCGGATGGACCCTCCGGTCGAGCATGTGGGGCCACGGAGGGGCGTTCAAGGAAAAGGATGGCCGAGGTGGAAGGGTAACCCCAAATGGGTTCCAGTCGTAGCTCCTCAGATTCAGTATGTCTGGACCCGACACCCGGGCCCCCACCAAGGACATTTGAAGATTGGAACCCGTCATAGGATCTATAGTGTTGGGAGTTGGAGTCGAAGTCCACTTTTGGGCACCCTTGATCTCCATTGGCCCATCCCGGACACTCCATGTCTGTCATATATGCCTACATTGGGGTGGTTTTGGGGGTCAATGTAAGCACATATGGCATGTGCATACATGGAGTGTCTGGGCATGTCTCAACAAAGCTGTCTCAGAATTGGTACCCAAAACCACCGAACACATCCCTCTTGGAAAAGAAAACTCTACCTGGTGGGCTAAAGACTGTTAAAGACTGTGCAAATGTGATCTGGCTTGTTTAGAGCATGTTGGCCACGGAAACCACCACCTTGTTTCCATGTGTTGCTTTCCGAAGCCGGCGAGCGCCAAAAAACCGCCCTGCGACGAGCGCGTGCGCGGACAGTCGTTGGGTCGGCGACTGGACTCGCCAGGGCGCGTGGACTTGCCCCGACGCATCCGCGAAGCCGACCTTCCCAGCTGGGCACCGGTGAGCCGACGCATCCGCGAACGGCTCGTGGGTCGGTCGGGGGGGCCGGACCCGCTCTCGACGCCCGGACCCAGTGCACCGTCCTTCTTAATGTCTATTGATAGCCCTGTACATCGAGGTGATATTAAGTGCACCCCGAGCTGGTGGGTCCTGACATGTCCTGACTGAGGTCCAAAGCAAAGTTGAAACCCCAAACATAGACATGTTGCAACTCCAACGGGTCTCCTCTTAGACTAAACTACGTCCCTACACTACTTGCTGATCTCATCTCCGTTGAGCATCCCTTTTGAAGGTCCAGGTGTGGAGTTGTAAAGCAAGTATATGTGGTTCGCGGCTATCCCTACTGCCGGGAGTGCTTTCTCTAGTCTTGGCGACCCTTACACATACCTCGCCTGTTTACTACAGTCATACAATGATCATACACAGGACACAGGTTGCAACCGACCGACACCCCCCCACACACCATCCTGGATAATCCTGCCAAAGCACAACTGTTTCTCTCAGTCCACGTCGTCGTCGTGTGCGACACAAGATGACACAAGTGATTCTTTGCCACCACGCTCAACCCTTTTGGGGCTCCTCCCAGATCCCGTTTGATTCTGATCCCAAGTCGCGCAGGCCATGAATCCGCAGCGGCGGTTGGATTGGCCCTCCATGAGCTTCAGCAAGCCGGAGACGCCAATCGTCGCCAGCACATACTTGGTGTAGGGCCCAGGAAAACCTCGCGACCAAAACCGCTGGATTTTCGATCGGGTTTCATGCCCAGTTCAAAAAGCACCGGAAGTGGGCTTTATGCGGTTCTGTGATGTTCTGTGGCCCTTTTGACGTCCTTTGTCTCCTTTCTGGCGGGACGGCAAAAGGTGTAGAATCACACAAAGTAGCATCACGTTGGTCCCTCTCTCTCTCTCTCTCCCTCTCTCCCCCATTCCTTTGCACACCACTTGGACTGCCACAAATACTTCCCACTCACTTGAGGACTAAAAAACAATTCCTTTGGAAGTGCTGGCACTACAAATACATATAATCTATTGATAGCACATTGATGAAGGTGAAGGTTTCCTGGAGCTCCATGTCAGGGTGCTTTTTCTGTTCGGGGCTTCAAGTGCCCCAATCAATCAATTCTCGAGGTCTGGGGGGAAGAGATTCACCACCCAACTCCAAGGACCTCTGTGTGCGAAGACGTCGATTGGATTCACCTTCGGGCGGCCTCTGGGAACATGGCACCGGAAAATGAGCACCGGTCATCAGCCCCCGCACACCCTCTAACAGCGGCCGTCAAAGCGTCGAAAAATCGGCATCTACATACCAAAACCATGCGAATTGAACCTCTTTGAGCTATAGAGCCTAAAGAAAACCCAGGTCTGTGATGGCTTGGGGGCCCCTTGCTTTTCGAGGGTGATTACACTGCTGGCGCTGTCTGGGTCGGAGTCCGAAGATCTCCCGGGCGAATCGGCGAGTAAGGATCGACGGGTCGCAAATGACACCCGGATCGGCTCCTGGAGGATCGGTAGTTGCGTAACAAACCTACCCCAGACACGACCTGTCTGGGACTGCCATAGGACTGCCGATCAATTGACCCCCAAAACCACCCCAACTGATTGGCATATATGACAGACATGGAGTGTCTGGGCACAGTACCTCCCAGCGAGAAAACTCCCCAAAAACGGCGTTTTCTACCACTGCTCCTTTCCAACCCTGCCTGCCACTGCCTGCGCACCGAGATGCCGTTGAGCGCCTCGATCACGAAGCCACTGTCTTGGACCACCACGTTCGCCCCAAGCTGGTGAAAGGCCTCGCCGTTTTGCGGTGGCCCGCCGTTTGTTCGGCGCGAGAGACGTCGAAGCGTGGGTGTTCCGGCGGGACCGGGGCAGTTATTCTATAATTTATATAGATACACTGTTAAATATTATAAACAGTATTAAATATTTAACACTTAAACTACTATATAAATTATAGATTTTAAGTTAAATGAAATGAAATGAATTGATAGTACCACACCTTGGCTCAGTCGTCCAGAACTGATTCGAAGGATTCTCCCTTGGAGGTGATTTGGAGCCGTGCTCTGCATCGCTGTGTGGTGAAGCTGTCGATGAGACGTGAGGTTAAGTTCGATTCCAAAGTGAGCTTAGCACGCCAAGATCCCAGGAAACTCCATGACATTTCTTTGGTTGCGTGTCCACCGTCTGTGATGGATATCAACGATCCAATTGCTTTCAGCGTCTAAAATCATTTGGGAATATTTGGGACTGTGCCAACACATGGGTCTAGACTTGACTACAACGAAACAGGCCAAGCTTCCACTGCCAACACGCATTTCATCTCATGTCTCACCCCATCAGCTCAATTTCGCTCACGTCTGCGCTGTACTGTTCTTTAGCCCAAACACACCCACAATGGCTATCGCCCAAACACATCATTGATCGTGAGAATGGTTGACCTGGGGTCTGCGACCCCCTGTTTGGGGTTTCTAGTGATAGCCCCAGCGATGATTCGGGGTATCCATTAACCACCCGAGCTCGTGGGTGGTATATATATATATATGCAGTCAATACTCCGGTCCCCAGCGTCTCTTAGTCTGCATACGCCTCTTGGGCTTTGGCGCGGCAGATCTCAGCGAAGGAGTCTGCTTGAAGCTCCGGAAGCTCCGCCGCGCACTTCCTCGTCGGGAGGATCCCAAAAAGGATTCCGAGGCCCACCAGGACCCACCCCAATTGTATGTGTTTTTTGCCATGGCAATCCCTGGGTGATGTTCATGGTTTGGATCCTTGTCCGAACTCGTCGAACTCGCGGGTCGAAAGCGAAGGATCTGACACTACGAGGACACGAAAGCTCATGTTTCAAAGAGACATGTCTTGGGAGGCGACCAGCGACTCTCGGTTCTCCACCACGGAGGGCTGTGAAACACAGGCCCTGTTTCACGGTTCGCGTCGGGCCCTGGGCATGAAAAGGGGGACATCGAAGTCAAACCGATTGAATGATGAATTCAACAATACCACGGCGCAAGAGAAGGGTCTCCGCGGAAGCAAGCTATGGGTCCAAATGACTGGCAGCTAGCAAGGCATCGAAAGCATGTGCACTAATAGTTCAAAAAAGGGAGCGTTGGACCCAAAGTGACGGGTTGTGGGGAATTCCTTCATGGAACCTCTGAAGTTCTGTGTTAAATGCACATGCACTAGACATCGTGAACTTATGTATGCATCCAACGACCCCCATCTCCCATCCCAAACCATGACCTGTCCCGACCAAACAGAAATCTGTGGTCGCTGGACCTGTTTCTGCTTTCTCAAGACACTGCTTGGGACCTGCTCGTGTTTGACACATCTTGCACCTATACCTTCAAAAACAAAAAAGAACCTCCGCATTGGCCTGATGACCACCAAACAATGTCACCCTTTGAGACTCTTCAACCCCCCCGCTGTGGATGCCAGGCGCACGCACGGCGAGCGGACCGGTAGCCGAGCCAATACGTAGCGTCGAGGAGCTCTACGGAGTCCACCACACCCTTCTTCATGGCGGACTCCTGCGCGACCGGAGGCCGGGAGGGAGGCCATCCACGGCCCTGAGCTGCGGTCGAGGTGGTGCAGCCATGGGCCATCCGACCCGTTTGAGATGAGGATGCTTTGGGGTCTGGTTGGAGGATGGTGTCAGGCATCCAAAGTCTGACCGAACCTGTGTTGTTGTGGTCCAAAGGGTCTTGAAAGGCTAATGGGCAAATCCGGTGTGAGGAACGAACTAGCCCGCAAACCACGATGTTCTATGCCGTGAAACATTTCCCTCTGCCTTTGATCCCAGACACGACTAATGGGACTGCCATATTTGCCTAAATTGGAGTGGTTTAGGGGGGCCAATGTAAATATATATATATATATATATGATTATACTGTGGATATGCATGGCATGGAGTGTCTGGGGATTGTCAATTGTCTGGGAAAACGTTTAAATGGCTTTGGAAAATGCTCCAAACGTCCAAAAGGAGGAACTCCTCGATGCCCAGTCTGACCGACCTACTAGGGGCCCAGTTGATCCGCAAACAGTTTGCGTCCAAGAAGAAGCGAAACAGCCCTGGGCCCCAGTACCTCATGGTATACCTCAAGTCTTGGACCAAAACTCCATCTTCAAATGAACCATCTGTCCACATCTTTCCACAACATCTCCCCGGGGCTCCAGTCGTACCTCCTCAGGTGTTTGGACCTGGCACCCACCCCAGTCCCACCGAACCTCAGGTTCGGTACTTGGAGCTCTAGGAATCGAAATGCAGTTTTCTGCTCACCTTCCCCTGGACCGAAGAGCGGCCCATGTGGATCAGACGGACTTCCCCCGACCGCTTGGACCGACCGACCGTCCAGGACGATGCGCAAGAAGTCCAGCTTTCCCTGGTTCGTGGTCACAAATCTCAAGCGCATCACGCGTGCGACACGGAAACCATGGCACGGTCTTCTGGCACGTGCTCGTGTCTTCTGGCACGTGCTCGTGAGTAGAAAGCCCTTCAATGATCCTTCAAGTTTGTTTGTTCAGAGATGGTGTGGGGGTTTTGCTGGCCCAGGGGTTGACTGTGCAGCCACCCTGCTGGCCTGAATTTGAACCAAAAGCGAGCCATAGGTGCTCGGATTGCTGTGGTGCTCGTCAATTTGAGGTCAGTTCGGGTGGGGAGGTGAGTAAACTCCTGGGTAGGTATGTGTTTTCAGCTCGAGCGACCATGTTTTTCCTACAGAAAAACCTCATGCTTCCTGGTCTCTGAGCAAAGAAAGCCCGGCCTGATGAAAGCAGTTGATCCACTCCGAAAGAAGTAGACATGATGTGTGGTGCTTGTGTGAGTAGAAATGACAAGTGGATAGACCATCCACAGGACTGGAAGAGTTACCTACAAATGGGATTGAAATATCTGTCACTAGTTCCAGTTCCACATGGAATGTCATCTGTCGGTTTCGGGAGGGGTCTCCTTTTCTGGGGAAGCTTTGACAGAGCTCCAAGCGGTGCGTACCCGTGTTGCTGACCATGGTCCTTTCTTCACCAACTTGCCATGAAAGACCCACAGCCCACAGCAGCTTGAGCTTGCCACAGCAGCTTGAGCCGCAAGAGGATGGTACCTCGTTTCCTTCTCTGGCGATGGTACCACGCGAACCCTGGCCAGGATTCATTCCATTCACCGAGCCACCTGCCCAGTTCAGGTGAGCATCTGAAGGAGATACTAACTGAGGGAGGACATGGGAGGACTCTATACAAAACCAACATGATCGAGTGACCCCAAAATCGAAAAGACGTCTCATCTCCTTGAGTTGGAGCATCCTGAATCTATGTGAGACCAACCCTAAATCCCAGTGGCAGAATGTGTGTTTGTCCACCTCAGCTGGGCATCCCGGCAAGTGCTGGATGATGACATTCATCCTAAGGCGCCGCAGGACAATGTTGTCCCGTGGAATATCCGCTTGCTTCTGGCTGCGAAGGTGGATACCCAGGAGTTTACGCATTAAGATCAGTATGGCGCAAGCAAGGGGGATCTTGAAGAGGGTCTTAGTGGGTACAAAGAGGTGACCCATGTGACAGAGCAAGCTCTTCTCGGAACAATGTCCCGACGAGAGCACAACGACTCTCTCAAAGAGATGTTTGGATGTTGTTGTGTTTGGTTCGCTAGCACCTTCTCATAAAGCAGCCTGCTGATTGCTGCCTCACACCACTGAAGCTCTGCAGTCATAGCTCTTCTCACAGAAAAGGATCACCTCATGACCGCTCAAATGTCAACTCGAACACGCAAAGACACCAACCTGAGACCCCCGCCCTCCCAAGGCGAGAAAGTCCACGGAGTTTCTTCACCCCAAGAGCTTGGGAGGAAGGAGCAATCTGCACTCCATATCAGTACCCTCACTGCCAGAACTTTAGTTGAGGGCGTTCACATACCCAACAATTCGTGACCTCTTGGGAGGGTCGGAGGGTCCTGAAGCTGCAGTTTCACTCTCTTTCACCTGCGCAAGATCAGAACTTGGTTTTCTGACCATCCACAAACATTGATCCTGCCCAAGGCATCCAGTGGAAGGTCTCGGGCACCAGAAGATGCGAGATACTGAGGTAATCTGAGATATACCAGGACCCTCCAAGGGGTGTCCAATGGACTTCCCCACACTACCTATAGGCTTCCATTGGGCACCCCTTGGAGGGTCCTGGTAGATGTTCATTAGGTCTAGAACTTCCGTTTTGTTGACGCATTGTACCCCACCTGGTAGTCAGTCATGATCCAGCACAACGAGTCTGGTAGAGGCCAATGAGTCATGGGACCTCAATGGGGGGGCTGAGATGCCCCAGCGACAACGTGGGACTTCACAACTCACCCGTTGATGTGCGCGAGGGTTCATAACTGAATCCCACTTCGGTGTCTGTCTACACCGATGCCCAGGCACAAGTGATGGACATCTTTGTTCTCTGACGCTTGGATAATCTGTGAATTGATCCACGGATGGGTGCCTGCAAGCAGCCGAGGCTCTGGCTAAGTATCTCCCGCAAGGAAAGTGTATACGAAAGTGCAAACAGCATTTGGTAGGGTTAAACTGGGTAGGTGTTGTGCAAACATTGTAACCTTTGCAAACAGCCTAACCCATGTGCATCTCAATACATCTCACTTTCCACGACCATAAGGAACAAGGGTTTGTGGTGCGATAGTCTTTGCAACCAGTTCTGACCTGCGACATCACGGAGTCAGATGCGATCAAGGTCAGTATCAGGTGTTGAGCCGACAATGGCACCCACCCCAGTCCCACCTCGCAGAAGGTACGACTGGAGGCCTAGGTAAGGATCCGTACCAGCGCCACCCATTTCAGGTGGTTTGGGAATGGGGGCACGGGCCGGAGCCGACAATGTCACGAATCCATCATCAACCAACCTTCAACGGTGCAAACGCACGCGTCAATGAATCAATCCCGTGGGGAATCCTCGCCGCCCCCGCCGAAACTCGGGTGAGGACATGGGACAGGGGTGGGTGGTTTGGGGGTCTGTGCCCAACCCCTGAGGATATGGGACAGGAGCCCAGTTTGGGCAATGAAGATTCAAGCAGGACACGGTCGTTGGTCGTTTCACTTCAACCTTTCAAAGGTTGATTGAAGGTGAGTAGGGGAAGAATGAATCCCCCAAAATGGGGCCCCAAGTTGGAACCTTCAAGGACGAATGTTCCAATTGGACCAGTCTGCCCATTGCTTGCGTTGCTTGGGGATCCTTCCTTTTTGACACACTCAAATTGCTGGCATGTTCATGTCTGCCTTGGTGCAGACCAAAGCCCTGCGACCTGTGTCCCAAGCCGTCCGGCAAGCCGCGGCTCCAGCCTCCGCGCCCGCCCCGTGGCTTGCGCGCACCCCCCTGGCACCGTGACGCACGGCGGCGGAGTCCGTGGTGGATTCCATGATCTTTCCCTAGGGCTCCAACCATATCCTCAGAAGGTGGTTAGACCCCCCTGGCACCCACCCCAACCACCTTCTCAGGAGGTGGTTGGAGCCCTAGGGTTTGTTCCTTTTGTTCACACCATGGCTGTGGGTTCAGGTGGTTTATAGACCCCCCCTAGCATGGTACTTACCAGTGTATGATAAAAGGTTCTTGAGGTTCTCCACACGGCTGTGGGTCACAAGTGGGAGTGACCTTGGTTGACCAAAGATCTGAGAGTCACGGGCGCAGTTAGGTTGACCAGTCTGCCAGTCAACCTCCGAGCTAATTGGGATAGAATGGAATAGACCCACACAAGGAAACGGTTTTGGAGGTTTTGGAGTGAATTAGCCCCACCTGCACGTATTAGCCCCCTCCAAATGTGACTGGAGGGAAGGGGGGTCTAAATGGGGAGGGCCGAACGATTCCATTCGATGGGAGGTCTGGTTGGCTAGCCCTTTCTGCAGCCCTGTTTACAGTCCAACTGTGAGACTCTGGGTCTGGCAAGGGTATATATACATTCCCTGCAATCATCCTGGAAGTGGATGGCATGGCCCCGCAAGGATGACGGAATTTCCGAATATCAATCAGGTGGTGCCATCCATGTGACCATGATGATTCCAAGGAGTGTAGGCCATTTTATGAACATCCGAGCCGAAGCAGTGAGCTCGGCATCCCAATCTCTCCCAATCACATCACCACTTGCTCCTTCGCAACTACACAAAGGGCCCATTCAGTGATATGCATACATACTGGTATACCAGGACCCTCCTGTCTGGGTGTCTATGAAAAGCCACGTAAAGAGATGAGGAACGGGGTGTCCACGAACCTCCGGGCGAACGGAAGGTCCTGGTACCAGCAGTTTTTAAAGGGGCGCCTGTTGGAGGACAAGGGTTCCCATTATCCACTCACTTAGGGACTGGAACTGTCTTCATCTGCCGATGATTGGCGTTCTTCGGGTCGACATTCTTAGGGCAAGATGTCCAAGTGGCTTTTGGGTTTTGACACCCCGACCCTGCATTCCCAATATATACGTAGGTCGTAGGTCAAATTCTGCTCATTTTTGTGGTAAAATTACTTTACTTCGAGTGATCCCCACCATGACATTTCAATCATTTGTCTTGATGCCATAGTGAGGAGCCTGTTGCCATGGTCGTGAGTATTGTAGTTCTCGATTTTGCTTGTGGGTCTTCGGGTTGTGTGCTGTGGTTGTGTGTTGTGGTTGTGGTTGTGTGCTGTGTTGTGGTTGTGGTTGTATTTGTGGTTGTGTGTTTGTGGTTGTGTGTTTGTGGTTGTGTGTTTGTGGGTGTGTTTGTGGGTGTGGTTGTGTGTTTGTGGTTGTGTGCTTGTGGTTGTGTTTGTGGTTGTGTGTTTGTGGTTGCGTTTGTGGTTGTTTTTGTGGTTGTGTGTTTGTATGTGTGTTTGTGGTTGTGTGCTTGTGGTTGTGTGTTTGTGGTTGTGTGGTTGTGGTTGTGTCTTTGTGATTGTGTGTTTGTGGTTGTGTGTTTGTGATTGTGTGTTTGTGGGCATGTTTGTGGTTGCGTGTTTGTGGTTGTGTTTGTGGTTATGTTTGTGGATGCGGTTGTGTGTTTGTCGTTGTGTGTTTGTGGTTGTGTGTTTGTGGTTGTGTGTTTGTGGTTGTATGTTTGTGGTTGTGTGTTTGTGGTTGTGTGTTTGTGGTTGTGTGTTTGTGGTTGTGTGTTTGTGTTGTGTGTTGTGGTTGTGTGTTTGTAATTGTGTTTGTGGCTGTGTGTTTGTGGTTGTGTTTGTGGTTGTGTGTTTGTGGTTGTGTGTTTGTGGTTGCATATGTGTGGTGTTGTGTTTGTGGTGTTGTGATTGTTGTTGTGTTTCTAATTGTGTTTGTGGTTGTGCGCTGTGGTTGAGGTCCGGCAGGGAACACTGGGCGTGGATGGTCGTGGTTGAGGTCCGGCAGGGAACACTGGGCCTGGATGGTCGTGGTTGAGGTCCGGCAGGGAACACTGGGCGTGGATGGTCGTGGTTGAGGTCCGGCGGAGGAGGAGGAGGAGAAGAAGGCGGAGAAGGAGGAGGAGATGGGGCTGACGTAAAATCTAACAACCCTCACCTGACAGGTGGGGAAAATAAACAGATCCACGGGTGCCATGACCCCATGGCCCAGGCTCTCACCGTCCCGCATCCGCCGTCCGATCTGCCCATCGCGCCTTCCCTTTACCTTTGGAATCGCCGCCCATCGCGGGCGGCGGAAGAACTCCTCCGCACCCGTTCAGGGGGGGTGATTGTTCGAGCTGAGCCGCCGGGTACGCCGGGTATAGGTGTTGCGGGCGGCGCGGAAGAAGCAAGCTGGCATTCGTTGAAGGGTGCACCTTGCAGGCATTTGGATGGCATTGAGGTATCTTCATGAATATCCTCTGCAAAGGTCTTCGGATCTCTTCGGGGAGCTTGAACCGTCAGGGTGGAAAATACATCGGTCTCAGCCGCAGCCTCCCATTTGCCCCATCGCTCGCACATGTCCCGGCCCCGTGCGCGGCCGGTCCTGGTCGATTCCGCCCGGTGGTGAGTCACGTCGAGTGACGGGTCCGTCACTCCGGGCGCCAAAATTTCAATAGATTCACTCAGGCTAATGGAGCCCAGAAGCGGCGGGTTTCGGGTTTCGGACGGGTTTCGGACGGGTTTGGGCAGGTGGTTGGTGGTAGAAGCAAGTTGCTTCATGGTGTCGGACGGCGCCCCAGAAATGATATGTTTTTGTTGTGTTGATATGGTCCTGGTATATTATGCCTTTAGCGATCGTAAAAGAAACGCATCTCAATTTGTCTTGGACAAAGATCTCAGGTGTTGGAATCGCTCGAATCGGCCAGAGATGTTCACAGAACAATCAAATGGTGGACCTTTGATAGGCTCTTGGAAAACTGGATCCACATACCGAACCTGAGGTATGGTGAGGACGAAGACACCTTTACGCGGGTTGTCCAAGTGCCTTCTGAGAAGGTATGTGGTCTTGGAAAAGACATCATGTCTGATAGATTTGATAGATCTCTCTTTTCTTCCACCCACCCATGCAGTGTTCGCTCCCGTGTGTTGCGAATCCGCCCAGCCAAGCGACAGGGCGCGGTGTTTGCTCCGCGGCCCAAAGGGCCAGCAGGTTTTCAGCAAGCGAGTTGGGATTGAAAAAATTCACCCTCTACTTCCAAGAACATGCTTTTAATGGTTGGCCCTGGTGTTATAGTGTAAAATCCTTTATAGAAAAACAATGCTGCGTTTGGGATTCAGACCATTAAAAGCAATGGTGGTTGGAAGCCCAAAATTCCGCACGGCAGTGTGCAGTTCTTTTTCCCCTCCTTCCCCCTAGTTATTACTTACACTTAGATTTCAGCCCCTTGGACACCCGGTGTTCATACGAGCGAAAAATCGACCAACAAGCGAGCTCTCGCTCAACATCGACACACGGGGCGCCCCACCATTCGGAGTCGAGACGTTCGACTGGACACTTCCAATGGACACTTCGATTGGACGGACCGGCCGGAGTCGAGACATCGATATGAATTCGGATCAGAGGAACTCGGAGACGGCGCCGCTACAGGTGCCGTCTCAAGGGCTACAGGTGCCGAAGCGGCTGCGGCGAAGGAAAAGTGACGTCGGTCGAAATCGACACAAGAGAAGCCATGCGTTAACCTCATGACGGTCTCCACTCGTGGGAATCCTCATGTTCTGCAATATGATGCAATTCTGAATCCTAAAACATGTTCCCAAAGGCTTGGGATTCCCCAAAGGCTTGGGATTCCCCAAAGGCTTGGGATTCCCCAAAGGCTTGGGATTCCCCAAAGGTTTGGGATTCCCCATGAACCGTCGGTTTCTCAATAGTTCTCTAGAATCCCAACGATCGCAGTGACTGCACAAAGATCGGTATCTAGCTGTTGTATGCTGTTGTCTGTTGTGCTCGTTCTGATTTTGAGGGTTTTGTGGCGTAGTCTTTCAAAAAGTGCAAGACTCTTGATAGCCAGTAACAACCTGACTGCCAAGAATGATCCTAGCAGACTTGATAACCAAACAATATATATATATAGTATACAGCAATAAACACACAACCCCAGAATACTTGGTCTAGCAAGTGAATACAGTAATTGATTCACATTATATAATTCCTTCTGGACAACCGCTTGTGGCAAACAAGGGATTCACCTGTATGACTCGTGTGAAGACTCATCATGTAATCATTCTACTGACCAAAGCACACCTGCCCAAAGCGCCCTATTGACGAATTCAAAGGCCCGTCACTTTGACCTGATGTAGGATGACTAATAACAACCATATAGCATCATATAGCACCCCCAATTCTAACGGTTATATTATGTTGTATGTCCCCAGGCCTGGGGGGCTTTGTCAATCAACCGTCTACATAATCTAATACTGCAAGCATCTGCAAGCAGTTGTGCTTTTTGAACATGGCACCATGTGGAAAAAAGCGCGCCTCTTTGGTCCCCCCTGGTGCTGTAGGTGGACAAAGAATATCACAGTTTACTTCTTGGCGGTGTCCATGAGTGAATCCCCTCTCCCAATCCACCGTCACGCCAGGTCATTCGGTCGAAACCGCCCGAAAGCAAACCATCGCAACCGTGCAAAAATCGGTCGAAACCTCCCAGGCGGGCGTTCGTGTACTCAGCCCCGAAACCCCGAACCGAATCCGCCTTTTCTGCCCCCCCGAAGGCCCCGAAGCGTTGCCCCCGAAGCGGCGATCGGTCGCGATGATCAGACCTCAAGCGCTCCCATCGGTCCAAGAGGTGCCGAAGCTGACGGCCGGGCGCCTCCCGGAAGAAGCGGAGGGAAGCGTCGAGGGTCGAGCATACCATCGAGGTCGGTGGAACGTCCCTCGGGTGCCGAATGGATCTTCAGAGTTTCTAGGGATCCAGTCGTACCTTCTCAGATGGTGATTGGAGACACCGCTATGTAGGTTTGGAGGGTCCAAGTGCCTTCTGAGAAGGTACTTGGATCCCTAGGGAGTGGAAGTGGTGTTTTTTGGTGGAAATCTGGGGGAGAGGCGGAGGTGGCCTGAGTAGTACAGCGCACTGAAGTGGCACAATTATAGCGTTAGTCTGAGTAGATGACTGAGGATGACTGAAGCGCTTCGATTGAAAAACATAGGCACATATATAGGCACTGAACCTTTTAGATCATCCAAATTAATCCAGTCCCAACCACACGTCCAAAACTGGGCTCATAGAGCCAAGGTCATCGGGTCGCTCCTTCTGGAGCTTGCATGCCCGCCGGTCTTCTGGGCATCGCTGACTACGGGCTGCTTGGAGGTCATAAAAGGCTGGGATGCCGGGATGGAGCGGCAATCGTCCGATTTGCCAGCACAAGTATGTCACCAGCATCAGCAAGTTGCATTTCCCAGCAGAACATGCCAGAACCATCAGAACTCCCATGAGCCCGAACGCTCCCTTCAGAGCCCGACCGGTCCCTCAAAACAGCCCGGGTCTGGACCCGAATAGCGGGGTCGCGTCTGGGGAGCATCAGTGGTGCCATATGAGCCGTACTGAGTCGCCAAGGGTTCCCTTTCTTTGCTAAAGCTACTAGCAACAGGGGCATCGTTACTATAGCAAGCTACTAGTAACTTATATATATATATATAGCTACTATAGTCTATAGTGGTAATGCCCTTATAGTGACGTTCGTAACGATGCCCTTGTAACAAGTCATGTGGCTCACATGTGGCTCACATCGCTTCCACACCGGCACCGCTGCGGCACGGCCACCGACGTGTCAGTCTGGGTTGGAACCCATGGAGTCTCGCGCGCCAAGCCCATGGCCCCACAGCACCCATCATACAGCATCCACAATTGGTCGGCGTGTCAATTCTGCCTGGCCTCTTTGCCTTGTCCTTTTGGTAGCCACCAAGAACATCAAGAACTCCGAAGCATCGATGTCAGACATGATTCGATCATATTCGATCATATGATTCGCCACCGTTCAGATCATTCAGGCCAAATGGGTGAAGATGCAAGCAGTGGCCGTTCGGTTAGGGGTGCGATCCATGGAGGTTATATAGGGGTGCCCAGCTACTCCACTCACGTAAGGGGACTAAACACCACCCAACTCCATGTCACTCCTGGTCTGCAGGAGTCTGTTGTTATCAATGATCCCTCCCTCGAAGGGATTTCGTCTCTAGGATCTTTCTTTGTCTCTGGGATCTGGGGATGTCTGAAAGGTGACTTCCCCCTACCACACACCATGATTCATCTTCCAAAGACACGGACGACATCCAATAAGAAATCTTTTGGGGGAGTTGGGAAAATCGCGCACACAAAAACCTGATGCCTTGAGCGGGGGCCCGGGGCCGCCGTATTAGCCACCTCTCTGCAACCGAAAAACACCTCAATTCGGGCCCTCCTCCAAGAACGTCTCAGTGCCCAACCCAATTCCAAAGCCTTCCCCTTCCAGTTCTTCTATGCCCACTGATCTCCCAAACCCTCCGCGTGGCCCAAAAACATCCACAAACCTAACATGACACGCCCCAAAGTCATCCATGACGTTTTCATGATGTGTTCATCGTTCTCCGGTCCACCGAGTCCACCGGAACTTCCTGGGTCGACACCGCCTCGCTGGTGTCGAGGACGGCCTCCAACTCCGTGATCAAGGCCACTAGGCGTCGGGCCTCTGGGGGCGGTGTGCCACTGGACCTCGTGGGACTCCAGGGGACCGCTTTGGTTGGAGGTTCTCGGCCGTCTGCGTTGGTCTTTGAGGACCGTGAGTGCCGTCTAGTCTCGTGTGGTTCTCCGTTTCGACGAACCGGTAAGAGGACGAAGAGAGACGGGTGACGGTTCCAGATGTTGATCAAAAGCCATGCAAAAAACCCTATCTCCAGACCCTACACCGACTTCGTCGTAGCTCTTCAGGTTCGGTATGACTGGAGCCGACAATGGCACCCGGGGCCCCCACCAACCACCTTCGAAACGAAGGTACGGAGGTCTAGGGAAATGGTTGGGCTTCTTCTGCTTCAACTCGCTTGCGGAAGTGCTCCATTTGGTCGTTGCTGGGAAGCCATCCGTGAAGACCAAAAGGCGTTCCAAACCCTTCCAAGGTCCAAACAACTTGAGTTCGACCGAACCACTCCGAAAAGGCCGGTGACGGTTTCCGCAAAGTGGGGTTTCCTCCAGCACGAAAAGGATCCAGCAAACTGCACATCTGATGGTTTTCATTGATGTTCCCCATGGGGGGGAAAGGAACGATCCTTCCT